TATATACATGTGTGTGACGGATCAGTGGTTGAGTTCCTCGGGACACTCGGCATCTGCTGGCAGGTCACTTGATCCAGGAATCTTCTTCCCATTCCAGGATGACACACACCAACACTTCCCCCTCTGACCATCTAGAGATGATTCGCACTGCGGGGAGAACGAGACAGAGAGAGAGTGAGACGGGCTTTTTTTCATTCTCTAGAAACACAAGCTTGCATGCACACGGCCTAGTTCTCGGTGGAGTGTGGTTCTAACACTCTGCCATCACGCGTATATCATCGTGTTGGCGAATATCACACGTCAGGCCTTATATACCAACACACAACCTCGCAGTGTGAGCGCAGGACGACTCTTCTCACCTGTTTGATTTTGTACAGGCCGTGTTTGTCGCAGTTTGGCAGGTAGAATCTGGTCAATTTGTCTCCCAGTTTCTGCTGTGATTTAGTGATCTTGTCAAGGGCTGTCTGGAGTTCGATATGACAGGGACCCTAGAGAAACACAACAACAGAGTGCATTAGTTTAATATGTCACGACATGCTAATAGGTTATTTTTATTAAACAAAAACATATAGAAATAATTCCCTTTTTAGAATATGGGTATTAATAATACTAATAACAATAACAGAAATATAACTTTGTTATTAAAAGTACTATAATAATGATGATAATATTTCTACGTTATTAAATTTTATAATAATTGTATTGCTATATTATTATAGAGAAATAATTATATTTAATACACATTACTACTACTATTGCTAATACTATCTATCTGTCTGTCTGTCTATCTGTCTGTTTATCTATGTATCTGTCTGCCTGCCTGCCTGCCTGTCTGTCTTTCTGTCTGTCTGTCTGTCTGTCTGTCTGTCTGTCTGTCTCTGTCCTTTTGCCTGTCCATCCATCCATCAGTCCGTCCGTCTGTCTGTCTGTCTGTCTACTTAAATGTCCATCTGTCTGTCTGTCTGTCTATCTGTCCTTCTGCCTGTCCATCCAGACATAGCATGTCTTTGCTAATACTATCTATCTATCTGTCTGTCTGTCTATCTGTCTGTTTATCTATGTATCTGTCTGCCTGCCTGCCTGTCTGTCTTTCTGTCTGTCTGTCTGTCTGTCTGTCTGTCTGTCTGTCTATCTATCTATCTATCTATCTATCTATCTATCTATCTATCTATCTATCTATCTATCTATCTATCTGTGTCTGTTTGTCTGTCTGTCTGTCTGTCTATCTATCTATCTATCTGTATATCTGTCTGTCTGTCTGTCTGTCTGTCTACTATGGTTTTGAAGTTGAAAACCAAAATGTTTATAATAATTATAATTACCGTTTACTTAACATAATTGTTCAATTTGTAATTGAACAGTTTGCAGTTTGTAATTGTTTAAAATTTTAATAAACAACAAAAACACTTATTATCAGTAATAAAAATTAAATAACATTAATATTGATTTTTATTTTAAATGTAACAGTTTACACTATTTATTACAACTACTATTACTATTACTACTACTACTACTACCAATAATAATAATAATAATAATAATAATAATAATAATAATAATAAATACTACTACTACTACTACTACAATAAGTAAAATAACTATTAATGTCTCTTAAATTTGCATCTCTTAAAATCATGCATCTTAATTTTACTGTTTCTTTCTTTGCCTCATGTACAGCTTAAGAAATTTCAGTAACCTTATACCGTCCTCTTGTGGCCATATGTGGAACATGGGGTCTCATTTAAACTAAACCTTTACACATTTCTTTAGGATGTCTATAGATAAGCCGAGGTGCCTGGAGGAGCTCACCTGTTCCACCAGTTTCTTGCGTATCGCGTTGACTTTGGCCTTCATGCTCTCTTTATTAGTGATGATCCGCGGGTCGAAGGGCTTTCCGTGCCCGGTCACGAACACGGTGGAGCTGCCTTCATTGACTGCCGTCGGCCCGTTATGAGACTCCGGATGATCTGAAAGAAGAAAAGGAGAGGTGAGAAATGTTGGCGGGATTAGTCACTCCTAATCAGCCTACTGAAAGGCGTAAATAAAAGCAATCGCTATCTTAACTTTTGAATTGCTTATTCAGATTTGAATAAAAAAACTTATTTAGTAATTGTGAAATTTTTAGGTATATTTTACATGTCCAAAATGTAAATAAATAAATGAAGCAAAATAAAAAGCGAGTTTAATTTGAGCAGTAAATTCAATATACATTTTGTCATTTATAGTTTAGTTAAATTCCCATTTTTTACATTTATTTATTTTTAACTTTATGTTATAAATTTATAATACACACCACAAATTGTAAACACATTTGTGTGATGTGTATTACAAATTTATTTAAAAAAAAAAATAAATAAAATAAATTACAAGACACAGCTCAAATTTCTTATCATTTTGCATAATTGTAAATGTTTTTTTTTTTTTTTGTAAAAGCTGAAGTTCCTCAATATCTGATACTGGTTCAACTGGTTTGTAATGCTGATGAAATCTCATCAGTGGTTGAATCAGCGAGAGGACTCGTCAGGCTGCAGTTATTGAACACACAGTTACAGTCTAATATACTGATAAACCTGTACCTGGTGCTGTCTCGCTTTGGCTGTGGTTAGGCTCGGGGCTCTCGGTGCACACCGCTTGTCCCCGGGTGAGCGCGTGCAGGGGTCGGGCTTCTCCCGGTTTCGGCAAGCAGCGCAGCCCGGAGCCGCAGGGCGCAGTGTAGATCCCGCACGGGTCACCTCTCTTCAACGCACAGGCGAGGCAGCAGCCGCAGCCCGGCTCTCGAAGCACCTCCTCACAGCCGGCATCCACCGCCGGACACTCGGCAAGCCGCTCCGGGGAGCACGGAGCGCAGCGGATCGGTTCCTGCCCGACCACTGGAGAAGCCCGGAGCCCCGGCGCGGCGAGGAGTGCGCTGAATGCTGCCACCCAGAAGAAGTTCAGAAGCAGTCTGTTCATCCCAAAGCACGGCTCAGAATAAATAGATAAATAAATAAATGAAGTGAAACGTGGAGTTCCTCACTGTCTTTGCGCTCTCCAAAACGACTAGCTCTCTCCGGGTCGCCTCGCGGTATTTATACGCACACTGGGTCCCGCTGACACGCTCGTGTTTGACGCATTGGCAGTATCAATGATTTCTTAAATGATCCCCCTCTGCTCCGATTGGCTGCCGGGGATCCAGTCTTCTTGTTCTTTGAACACAGTGCGTAATATGCGTCACTGTTTGTATCGGAACATAATGTGTACAAGCGTGAAAAGCGTGTGTTTACTACCCGACAAGTACCTAATCTGAAACGACAATAATAAGGTGTCTTTTGTATAGGTTCATCCCAGCATGTTGGGTAGGCATTTGGATGAATATGCAATTATTCGCTTGAAAATGAACGTAAATCAAACTTAAGCATGCTTTTTATGTGCAATAACAGTCTGAGCTAAGTGTTTTATTTTCTATGAAATATACTTCCACTGTGCATGTAAGCTAAATATTTGATGTTGTTAAATACATATCTTATTGTTGTGGGAATATTAACAAGTATTAAATAATATAATTTGCAACACGAAACCTTATTTAACTATAACAAATATTTAATTTACAACATTTCTAGTAAAATTAAATATTATTACTGCATTGGTATTCATTATAATGCTAAAGAATCAGCAGAGAATTAAGAATAAGAGTTCATGGGCTTAGCACAAGCATTAGGCTACTAATGAATTCGAACTCTGCTGAACTATATTCCGCAACTTTATTCTGGATCACTTATTTGCCACAACAATAACAAAAAGACTAAAAGTGGGCCTGTTTGTGGCTCCCTCCCAATCTCATTTTCCATGAGGTTTTTCATAGGTTCAAGAACATCCCATTCAGGTTCATGTTGTGAGTCTACTGAAGCCAGCTAATGCAATTTGTGATTTACTTCAGAACGCGGCACACAAAGCTCCTCATTCATTAAGTTCCCCCTCGAAAACTGTTATACAAGCATTTTGCGAAGCCAAATTGTCGCGTCCTGGTCCTTGGTCTGGCATTCATTTGACGCGTTTTTTTTTGTATTTTTTTTCGTCTGTAATGAGGTGAGAGACACAACGCGCGCGCTCTGTGGCACCGCGTGCACTCGCCCTGTGGTACGTGACCTCACTCAGGTCAGGACGGCACCCCGTTTTGGAAAGCTCGAGCTACCACTATTGTCACAGCCCCTCTCTTGGGATAATAATAGACGCGCGGGAAAAACGACATGTCCACTGACACGTCTCCTCTCCACGCGCGTCGCGAGGCCTTTTGTCGTGGCCGCGCGGAGGAGTTTATGAATGGGCCACAGGATGTGACACTCCGCTGGGGAAGGGCGCTTTAATAATGTGTCAACCGCTGGGCTTTCGAATGTCTCCGAGGGGAGACCACATGATCCACGCAATTGTCTGACAGTGTTGCATCATTTTTTTTTTCTTCAGCGCGTGGAGAGTTTCTCTGCGCGTCACGTGATCAGGTTGTCCGTTCGCGCGCGTGTGGGAACGCGAGTATCTGCTGACGGAGATAAAGCGGCACGCGCGTCATACCGGTAACTGTAGCCTCTCTGTTCCCCTTTGTCAAAACCTCTAGGCAAGAATACCATGAACACCTTGCATCTGAGGATTTATCCTTTACCGTTAACCTTGTCAGACAGTGCAGACAAATGTGACAGTTACAGTTCATACAATAAATTAAAATGTGTATGTCTTTCAACACTAATGACACTGATGAATGTTTTAGTAATACCCATGCTCATATTACCCATAACTCTTTCTTTTTTATATAGCCTTAACCCTCTTTTTTTCTTTTAAGCATGCAGGCGTTTTTCATGCAGACGGTTACTGTAATGTCTGCAGTGATAAAACTGAACTCAACGGTCAGACACTGATTTGGAAGCGTTTTATCACCGACAGACAGAAGGACCTGTTGTCCTTAAGCTGCAGAGGAACGTTAGAGCATATTTATCTATTAGAGTGACCAATATTGCTCATCATGCAACGCATTTTGATATATTCAGAGCTTGAAAAATGTCCAAACGTATAGGAAAATGCTTCACATCTACTTAAAGTATTATTTAAAATATATGTTTCAAGTATAAACACGAATACTTAAAGAGCAACATGGTAAAGTACTATTAAATATATATTTCTATAATATTTTATATTATTATTATATATTATAGTATTAACGCGAGGAACATAGTAATGTGCGTAACCCTTTAACTGCCCCAGCAACAAAACATTATTTATTTTATTTTTTTATTTTGGCACTCAACACATCCCATAATTTCTAAAATATCAACCATTTAGTAGAGGTTAATATGTCGGTTTATGGTAAAAAATACCAGAATTAATACATATGAAAAATGTGAGAACAGTTTATTTTAAAATAATCTATAAAAAACATTTTTGAATACTAAATCATCTTTGTTTTTGAAGTATGCATTCAGATTTTCATTTAACATGTTTTCTTGTTTTTTTACAAAAAAAAAATTTAAATCAAGTGTAGTAGTGCAACAGGATTATGTTTGTTTGATTTTCTTGTAAACCAACAGTGTTGCATGTGTAATGCATTATTTAAAACAGTCATTCCTTTAAGGACTTTAACAGTCATTATATAAAACGAGTCAAAATATGGTCAACCATTTGGTAGAGCAGGCAGATAAAGAGTTAAAGTATTATTAAATATATATTTCAAGTATAAACATGAATATTTAAAGAGGAACATGGTAGTGTACTTAAAGTATTATTAAATATATATTTCAAGTATTAACATGAGGAACATAATATGCTTAACCCTTTAACTGCCCCATGCAGCAACAAAACATTTTTTTTTTTTTTTTATTTTGGCACTCAGCACATCCCATAATTTCTAAAATATCAACCATCTAGTAGAGGTTAATATGTTGGTTTATGGTAAAAGTACCAGAATTAATACATACACTATGAAAAAATGTGAAACAGTTTATTTTAAAATAATCTTAATAAACCATTTTTGAAAACTAAATCATCTTTATTTTTTTGAAGAATGCCATAAAATATTTCAGATTTTCATTAAACATGTTTTTTGTTTTGTTTCTCTACAAAAAAAAAATTAAATCAAGTGTAGTAGTGCAACAGGATTATGTTTGTTTGATTTTCTTGTAAACCAACAGTGCTGCGTGTGTAAAGCATTATTTAAAACATTCATTCCTTTAAGGACTTTAACAGTCACTATATAAAACGAGTCAAAATATGGTCAACCAATTGGTAGAGCAGGCAGATAAAGAGTTAAAGTACTATTAAATATATATTTCAAGTATAAACATGAGCAACGTAGTACTTAACCCTTTAACGGCCCCAGCAACAAAACATTTTTTTTTTTTTTTTGGCACTCAACACATCCCATAAATTCTAAAATATCAACCATCTAGTAGAGGTTAATATGTTGGTTTATGGTAAAAGTACCAGAATTAATACATATACTATAAAAAATGTGAGAACAGTTTATTTTAAAATAATCTTAATAAACCAGTTTTGAATACTAAATCATCTTTATTTTTTCAAGAATGCCATACAATATTTCAGATTCTCATTTAACATGTTTTCTTATTTTGTTTCTTTACAAAAAAAATTAAAAATTTAAATCAAGTGTAGTAGTGCAACAGGATTATGTTTGTTTGATTTTGTTGTAAACCATCAGTGCTGCGTGTGTAAAGCATTATTTAAAACAGTCATTCCTTTAAGGACTTTAACAGTCATTATATAAAACGAGTCGAAATATGGTCAAGCATTTGGTAGAGCAGGCAGATAAAGAGTTAAAGTACTATTAAATATATATTTCAAGTATAAACATGAGCAACGTAGTACTTAACCCTTTAACTGCCCCAGCAACAAAACATTTTTATTTATTTTTTTATTTTTATTTTGGGCACTCAACACATCCCATAATTTCTAAAATATCAACCATCTAGTAGAGGTTAATATGTTGGTTTATGGTAAAAGTACCAGAATTAATACATATACTATGAAAAATGTGAGAACAGTTTATTTTAAAATAATCTTAATAAACCAGTTTTGAATACTAAATCATCTTTATTTTTTGAAGTATGCCATAAAATATTTCAGATTCTCATTTAACATGTTTTCTTATTTTGTTTCTTTACAAAAAAAAATAAATAAATAAAATCAAGTGTAGTATTGCAACAGGATTATGTTTGTTTGATTTTCTTGTGAACCAACAGTGCTGCATGTGCAAAGCATTATTTAAAACATTCATTCATTCATTTTCTTGTCGGCTTAGTCCCTTTATTAATCCGGGGTAGTCACTTTATTAATCCAGCGGCAACCCATCTCTGGGAAACTTATTTAAAACAGTCATTCCTTCAATAGCCCCTTTCACACATACAGACCTTTCCGGAAAATTACCGGCAATTTTCCGGAAAGGTTGTATGTGTGAACAGGTCCTTTTTGAAAATACCGGTAAATTCGTTCTGGCTATTTTCCGGAAAGAGAAGTTGTAACATTACCGGTAATTTGCCGGAATGCTGCGCTGTGTGAACGCAGAAGGAAGATTTCCGGAATAAGCTCGTGCACGTCTAGAACGTGCTGACGTAAGACTTCTGCTTTAGCCAATCACAACAGTCAGACGCATTTACGTCCGCGCGGTTTGTGAGAATAAAAGCCTTTGAATATTTTTCCAGACACATTTAGCTGCTAGAAGTTAGTCAGATCACGTTTATATGTTCTTCTTAATGCCAACTGTGCAAATAATCATCGATAAGATTCTTATGATAAGCCGTTGTTTGTTTACCTTCAAGCTTTGCGTGTGCCAGTGAAACAGCCTGTGAGCGTCAGCACACGCACAAATTATGAACATCTCGACATGCGAATATGATCCAGTGAAAGTTGTTCACAATATTGATCATCAAAAGAGTTTGTAATTTAGTCAAATGTTTACAAACACAAGCGCAGCCGTTTAAAGCTCATTTGTGGTGAATGATGTCAGAATTTACCGGTATTTTGGAATGGATGTGTGAATGCTCTTTTC